AAAGAGCTGCAGAAGCAGCAGCAGCATGAACTGGCGGTGGTGGAGCGGAGAGGCCTAGGGAGAGACTGTGAAGGGGAAGCTGAGGTGGGTTGGCCTGTGCTGCCAAGGGGCACCCATGATGGGGGTTCTCTGTAACACCCCACCCCAGGAGGTGGGCCACAGTCACTGTCCTCCAGTTGAGGAGGTCACTGGAGGATAGAACCCAGGAGTCCTGGCTCCCAGCCTCCCTGCTCTAACCACTAGGCTCCATACCTTCCCACATGTGGGGCTGGAACCCAGGAGTCGTGACTCCCTGCTCTCCCACTCTACCCACCAGTCCTCACTGCCCACCTAGGGCTGGGATTGCAGAAAAGCCCAGAGTGGCGGCAGGCGGGAGATGCAGACTGGAATGAAAGGGACCAGAGCAAAATACCAAGTGGGGAAAGGCAGGAATTGCTCAACAGGGGCAGTGGGAAGGGCGGGGGGTGGGTGGGATAGGGACCTCTGTGGGACCTGCTCAAGACTTCTCCCTAACTGCAGGGTGAGAGACCCTCTCTCTGCCCTAGGTGCTAGAAGGCTGAACGGCCCCTGGGGGGATGTACCCAGCACCCGCCGCTGGCCCAGATCCCGTGCTGGGTGCAGGACAGGTGCAGTCTCACCCTGTGACCCCTTGTGCCTGTGGGGCCAGAATCCTGCTCCCAGCTTGTGGCCAGGCAAGAGACAGGGCCTTCTGCTCAGGCAGCTCTGCCTCGTCTGGAGGTGCAACGTCTGGAGGTGCCAGTCCTTGGGCTGGGCTCCCCTCACAGGAGCCTGAATATCCATGCACCACTGAGACGTCCCGGGCAGGGACTGACCCGTTTGGCCTGGACTGTCCCCTGCCCTCTCACTGCAGAGCCAGCTGCCTGTCACTCAGATCTCTCTGTGCCCAGTGGCAGGAGGGTGCCCAGGTGCTGCCCCCCCCATGGCCCACCATGTCCTGTGGGTGCCTCCAGGGCCCCTGGGTGATGACCCTGCACTAGCTGTCTGAATGCCCATGTGCACTGAGGGAGCTGGGTGCAGGTTGGAGCATCCCCTGGCCACTGGGCTTTCCCTTCAGCTTGGCAGCTGCCTGCCCAGTGGCAGGCTGGGAGAGGGCAGCATTAAGATTGGGCTGGAAACTTACCCAGCATTGGGGCCTGCTTGAACGGCTTCCCTCCTGCAGTGTGGCTAGTGGGAGCCAAGCTTGGAGCATTTCTGCGGAATCTGTACTTGCTGGGGCAGGGGGTGGGGGTGGGTGTTCATGGTGGCTGTGAAATGCTTTGGCCAGGTGCTTAAGAGCCTTTGGTGAGGGACCTTGTCAAAGGCTTTCTGAAAATCTAAGTACACTGTATCCACTGGATCCCCCTGGTCCACATGCTTGTTGACCCCCTCAGAGAATTCCAGTAGATTGTTGAGGCATGATTTCTCTTTACAAAAACCCTACTGACTCTTCCCCAACATATGGTGTTCATCTATGTGTCTGACAATTCTGTTCTTTACTATAGTTTCAACTCGGGCTGTCGATTAATCGCAGTAAACTCACGCAATTAACTCAAAAAGATTAACTGCAATTAAAAAAATTAATCACAATTAATCACACTGTTAAACAATAGAATACAAATTGAAATTTATATTTTTGGATGTTTTTCTACATTTTCAAATATATTGATTTCAATTACACCACAGACTACAAACTGTACAGTGCTCACTTTATACTATTTTCTATCACAAATATTTGCACTGTAAAAATGATAAAAGAAATAGTATTTTTCAATTCACCTCATACAAATACTGTCATGTGATCTCTTTATCATGAAAGTGTAACTTACAAATGTAGATTTTTTTTTGTTACATAAGTGCACTGAAAAACAAAACAATGTAAAACTTTAGCGCCTACAAGTCCACTCAGTCCTACTTCTGGTTCAGCCAATCGCTCAGACAAAGAAGTTGGTTTACATTCGCAGGAGATAATGCTGCCTGCTTCTTATTTACTATGTCACCCGAAAGTGAGAACAGGCATTTGCATGGCACGTTTGTAGCTGGCATCATAAGATATTCACATGCCAGATATGCTAAACATTCAAATGCCTCTTTACATGTCGGCCACCATTCCAGAGGACATGCTTCCATGCTGATGATGTTCATTAATTAAATTTGAGACTGAACTTCTTGGGGGAGAATTGTTCGTCCCCTGCTCTGTTTGACCCACATTCTGCCAGATATCTCATGTTATAGCCGTCTCGGGTGATGACCCAGCACATGTTCGTTTTCAGAACACTTTCACTGCAGACTTGACAAAACACAAAGAAGGTACCAATGTGAGATTTCTAACGATAGCTACAGCACTCGACCCAAGGTTTAAGAATCTGAAGTGCCTTCCAAAATCTGAGAGGTGTGGCGCATGCTTTCAGAAGTCTTAAAAGAGCAACGCTCAGATGTGGAAACTACAGAACCCGAACCACCAGAAAAGAAAATCAACCTTCTGCTGGTGGCATCTGACTCAGATGATGAAAATCAACATGCGTCGGTCAGCTCTGCTTTGGATCATTATTGAGCAGAACCTGTCATCAGTATGGAAACATGTCCCCTGGAACGGTGGTTGAAGCATGAAGGGACATATGAATCTTTAGCACACCTGGCACGTAAATATCTTGTGACGCCGGCTACAACAGTGCCATGCGAACGCCTGTTCTCACTTTCAGGTGACATTGTAAACAAGAAGCGGGCCACATTATCTCCTGCAAATTGTAATCAAACTTGTTTGACTGAGCGATTGGCTGAAGTAGGACTGAGTGGACTTGTAGGCTCTAAAGTTTTACATTGTTTTATTTTTGAATGCAGTTATTTTTTTGTACATAATTTGACATTTGTAAGTTCAACTTTCATGATACAGAGATTGCCCTACAGTGCTTGTATGAGGTGAATTGAAATACACTATTTCTATTTTTACAGTGCAAATATTTGTATTAAAAATAAATAGAAAGTGAGCACTGTACACTGTATTCTGTGTTGTAATTGAAATCAACATATTTGAGAATGTAGAAAACATCCAAAATATTTCAATCAATGGTATTCTATTATTAACAGTGCGATTAAGCGCAATTAATGTTTTTAATCGCTGGAGAGCCCTAGTTTCAACCTGTTTGCCAGACACTGAAGTCAGGCTCACCAGCCTGTCATTGCTGGGATCAGCTCTGGAGCCTTTTTGAAAAATGGGTGTCCCATTAGCTCTCCACCAGTCACCTGGTCCAGAGGCTGATTGAAGCGATAGGTTACACACCACAGTCAGCAGTTCTGCAGTTTCACATCTGAGTTCCTTCAGAACCCTTGGGTGAATCCCATCTGGTCCTGGGGACGTATTGCTGTTTATCAGTTTGTTCCAAACCCTCCTCTAGTGACCCCTCAGCCTGGGACAGTTCCTCAGATTGTCACCTAAAAAGAATGGCTCAGGCGTGGGAATCTCCCTCGCACCCTCAGCCGTGAAGACCGATGCAAAGAATTCATTTAGTTTCTCCGCAATGGCCTTGTCGTCCTTGAGTGCTCCTTTAGCATCGCGATCCTCCAGTGGCTGTTTGTCAGGCTTCTGAAGTACCTAACATTTTTTGAGTCTTTTGCTCGTTGCTCTTCCAACTCTTTGTTGGCCTCTCGTATTATACTTTTAAAACTATCAGTGGATGTCTGGAACACAGCTAGAAAGTCCTTGCTTCACACAGAACTCAGAAAGTTACAGCATGCTTGGCCCGTTCTGGTTACCCCAGCCAAGCGGTGTCCACCCTTGCCTCCTGCTCTGTCCCTCTGTTCAAATTCCCGGGCCTGTCCCAGCTGGCCCCTCCTCAGCCCTTTGTCCAGCTGGTCACACCTGGCTGGCTTCCTGCAAGGGCGGGACCTTGATGGCCCATAGCTGCTAGGTACCAAATGTCCCAGTGATTGGATTTGCCATTGTCTTCATGGCCCCCCCCATAGACCTGGGCCCCCAAACCAGAGACAGCCAGGCGACATTCCCACCTCTGTTGTAGCCTGCCCAGCAGCCCGAGACTAAACTGCCTTTTCCCACCACCTACTTATCCATGCAGCAACTAGGGGAAACCGAGGCACACCCAGTTTTCATACAAAATAATACAGGAAATGTCCACCCCACCACAACAAGCACTTAGTTGTCTGCCTGCACGTGATGTAATTGAACAGGGCTCTTTCTACCTCTCCTCCATCAACTTACAGCCTCTCCTCCTCACTAAGACATAGAGAACCCCCGTGAATGGATCTCCCCTAGGGGATGCCTCTGTTCCCACCCCCTGCTCCTCTGTGCCCCTCAGCTTCCCCCAGGCCCTAGCGTAAAAACTGCTCTCGGACCCTTTAATCGCCAGCGACCCGGGGCTGGTGTGGTCCAGGTGGAGCCCGTCCTTTCTGCCCAGGCGCCTCCTTTCCCCAAACATTCCCCTGACTCCCTCCTCCCCAGACCCTCCTCCGCCCGCGCCCCCGGAGCTCTGCCGGGGGGCTCCCCTGCGCCCGGCACTGGAGGCGTTCACGGGGGGCAGGGGACACCTCCGCGCCCGCCTGTGGGGGGCCCCGCCTGGGGGGGGCCCCGCCTGTGGGGGGCCAGCCCGAGCCCTCCTCCCAGCCGGGCCTGAGGCCCCCTCCCCACGGGCGCCCGGGGCCGGCCCAAGGACCCCCCCGCCGGCAGCCGGCAGCCCGCAGCCCCCCCGGCGGCCCGGGGTTCGCGCCCCCGCGCTGCTGCCTACGCCGGGAGCCGCCCGAGCCCGCCCGCCCCCCCGCAGAGCCCGGCTGGCGTCGCCACCCGCTTCCCCTGCACCTGCCGCCCCGCCCCGCCAGGGGTCCCACCCCACGCTCTCGGCGGTGGGGGGCGGGGCCAGGGCCTGGGAGGGGGCGGGTCGGTCTGGGCTCTGGGGGCGGGGCCTGGCCGGGGAGCGGGGGCGGGGCCTCCTGGCAAGACCGGCCCCGCGCTCCCGATTGGCTGTTGGGGGCAATGGGCGGGTCCGGGGGTCACGTGCCGAGGAAGCAGCGCCGCCAGCCCCGGAAGCGGACGCTGCGGTCCCAGGGCGGGGCCCGGCCGGGGGCTCCGGCCAGGTGGGAGACCCCCCCCCCCCGAGTCTGGGGGGTGTTGGCGGGGGGGCACCGGTGGGCTGGGAGGAGGGGCGGGGGCTGGGCGGGCAGGGGGCGGCGGGCCGGGGCGGGCACCGGCGGGAGGGGGGGGCACCGGCGGGCCGGGGCGGGGCTGGCAGGGGGCACGGGCGGGGCGGGGCGGGGCGGGGCAGGGCTGGCGGGGGGGGCACCGGCTGGCCGGGGGGGGGGCACCGGCGTGGCGGGGCGGGGCTGGCAGGGGGCGGCGGGCCGGGGAGGGGGGGCACCGGCGGGGCGGGGCGGGGCGGGCAGGGGGCGGCGGGCACCGGCGGGCCGGGAGGGGGGCACCGGCGGGGCGGGGCGGGGCTGGCAGGGGGTGGGGCCGGGAGGGGGCTGCGGGCCGGGAGGGGGCGGCACCGGCGGGGGCGGGGCGGGGGGGGCGGCGGGCACCGGCGGGCCGGGAGGGGGGGCACCGGCGGGGCGGGGGCAGGGCTGGCAGGGGGCGGCGGGCCGGGGGGAGGGGGGCACCGGCGTGGCGGGGCAGGGGGGGGGCTGGCAGGGGGCGGCGGGCCGGGAGGGGGGGGGCACCGGCGGGGCGGGGCAGGGCTGGCAGGTGGCGGCGGGCCGGGAGGGGGGGGCACCGGCGGGGCGGGGCGGGGCTGGCAGGGGGCGGCGGGCCGGGAGGGGGGGCACCGGCGGGGCGGGGCGGGGCTGGCAGGGGGCTGCGGGCCGGGAGGGGGCGGCACCGGCGGGGCGGGGCAGGGCTGGCAGGGGGCTGCGGGCCGGGAGGGGGGGCACCGGCGGGGGGGGGGCAGGGGGGGCGGGCGGGAGGGGGCACCGGCGGGCCGGGAGGGTGGGGCACCGGCGGGGCGGGGGGCGGGGCTGGCAGGGGGCGGCGGGCCGGGAGGGGGCGGCACCGGCGGGGCGGGGCGGGGCTGGCAGGGGGCGGCGGGCCGGGAGGGGGCGGCACCGGCGTGGCGGGGCGGGGCTGGCAGGGGGCGGCGGGCCGGGAGGGGGGGGCACCGGCGGGGCGGGGCTGGGCTGGCAGGGGGCGGCGGGCCGGGAGGGGGGGGCACCGGCGGGGCGGGGCTGGCAGGGGGCGGCGGGCCGGGAGGGGGGGGCACCGGCGTGGCGGGGCGGGGCTGGCAGGGGGGGGCGGCGGGCCGGGAGGGGGGGGCACCGGCGGGGCGGGGCGGGGCTGGCAGGGGGCGGCGGGCCGGGGGGGGCACCGGCAGAGCTCTGGCACGTTGGTGGCTGCGGGGTTCATCCCTCCTGCCGAGGCCCCTGGTGGGGCTGACGAGATGTGGGACCCCCGGCCCCCAAGACGCGGCGGGCACCGGCACCCGGTCTTGTCTCCCGCCTGCGGAGCGGAGAGCTCGGGCCCCAGGCCGCCCTGGGGCAGGACGTGCCAGGCCAGCGAGGGGACGGGGCCTTCGCCCTGGCAGGGGAGGCAATTGGCTGCGGCTGCCTCGGGCCTGTCTCCTGCGCTGGCGGCGGGAAGGGGCTGCGAGCCGCCAAGGCGGTGCCCGGGCCCCTCAGCCGGGTGGGGCTGCCTCGTGCGTCCCTGGGCTGGCTCTGCCCGGCTGGCTGAGCAGGGCCTGGCCGTGCTGCCCTGGGCCATGGCCTCCTCTGGAGGGTGCTCCCCCCATGGGGGGCCAGTGGGGGCCCTGTCCCAGAACCTCCCACGTCCCGCAGCCCCTGAGTGTCTCCTCCCCCCGCACCCCCCCAGCAGGCAGCGCGGCCCGGGGCCGGCGGGCAGGGTCTGACTCCTGTGTGCAGCATGCAGGTGACGGAGCGCGAGGCTGCGGGGCAGGGACTGGAGGGGGGCCCTGCCCAGCCCGATGCCCAGATGGAGTCGCCTGCCCCCCCCAAGTCCCCGGCCTTCGACCTCTTCAGCCTGGTCCTGTCCTCCAAGCGGCTGGAGATGTACCTGGAGCCCCTGGGGGACGCCTGGGAGGGGATCCACTTCCTGCTAAGGTAGGTGCTGTGCCCGGGCTCTCGGTATCGCCTGCGGGTGGGGGGGGCTCCCTCTGGCTCCAGCACGGTTGGCAGCCGCTAACCTGGGCTCTGCCCTGCAGGTGGCAGATGCCTCTGTGCTCGCTGCTCACCTGCCTGGGCCTCAACTTCTTGCTGCTCACCCTGACTGAAGGTAAGGGGTCGCGGGGGGGTGGGTGGGGTGGGGACGTGGTGGTGGGGATGGGGAGCAGGCTGGTTGGGGGGAGAATGGGGTGGCGGGGATGGGGAGCAGGCTGGTGGGGGGGAGAACGGGGTGGCGGGGGCTGGGGATGTCGTGGCAGGTGGGTGGGGGATGGGGAGCAGGCTGGTTGGGGGGAGAATGGGGTGGTGGGGATGGGGAGCAGGCTGGTGGGGGGGAGAACAGGGTGGCGGGGGCTGGGGATGTCGTGGCAGGTGGGTGGGGGATGGGGAGCAGGCTGGTGGGGGGGAGGATGGGGTGGCGGGGGCTGGGGATGGGGAGCAGGCTGGTGGGGCAGGGGATGTCGTGGCAGGGGCTGGGGATGGGGAGCAGGCGGGTGGGGCGGGGGAGGAAAGGGGGGGGGGGTGGGTGGGGGGTCTGGGCAAGGGGTCTGGGCAGGTGAGCATGGCTGATGGGAGGGGCTGCAAGCATGGGGCTGGAACCGGCTCATGCCCTGGGGCACGGCTGGGGCTGGTTCTGCTCCGGCCTGGGGGCCTGATGTGGCCTGGCTCTTCCAGCTGCCTGGTTCTCGCTGTGCGCACTGCTGGTCCTGGTGCCCGCCCTGCTGGGCTACCTGCAGGAGGCCTGCCGGGCCCGCCGGCCGGCGCCGGAGCTGGTGCGCCAGAGGTACCATAGCGTGCGGCGCGAGGACCTGCAGCAGGTGCGGCTGGCGCGGCATGAAGCCGTCACTGAGGTGAAGAGATTGTAAGTGCTGGGGCCCTACAGGGTGGGGTGGGGCCCTACAGGGTGGGGCGGGGCGGGGCGTGGCCGGGCAGGGCTCTCAGGGACTCCAGCTTGGGGGTGAGACACCTGACACCCCCACCCCTCCCCGCCAGGGCTCAGGCCTGTGGAGTGGAGGCAGGGAGAGGCTGAGACAACTGGAGTTATTTAGTCTGCAGAAGAGAAGAGTGAGGGGGGATTTGATAGCAGCCTTCAACTACCTGAACCCCCCTTCCAAAGAGGATGGATCTAGACTGTTCTCAGTGGTGGCAGATGACTGAATGAGGGGCAATGGTCTCAAGTTGCAGTGGGGGAGGTCTACGTTGGCTATTAGGAAACCCTATTTCACGAGGAGGGTGGTGAAGCACTGGAATGGGTTACCTAGTGTCACGGACTCACCGATCGTGCCCACTCTTGGCCCCGTGTGGTCCGTGGCAGGGTGCCCTTTCAGTGAGACAGCCCTTCTAGGGGGGCCACTCTTTCTCGGGGTTAAGCCCCTCCACCTCCTGGATCCACACCTCTCGGAGCTTTAGCACCCCTGTCTCTGCCGTGGGCCCCCTCGGGGAGTCCCCTCACTCTGGACCCCCCAGGGCCTCCGCCTCCCAAAGGGGACGATTCCCCCTGTTCTCTACACTGCAGCGACTCTCAGTCAGCATAAAACAGGAGGTTTGAGTGTTGAACACAATCCAGGAAACTCAGGACCTCAGGCCTGGCCTCCCTCAGCACAGGGGCTCTGCCTGCTCCCTCCCTCCAGCCCAGAGCCCCCCTGCTTCCCTGCTGGGCATCTGATAGCACCGGCCCCCAGCCCCCCTCTGTCCATTGTCTTCTCTTCAGGTAAACAGGGTCGTAAACAGGGTCGCCTGGACCCCTCTCCTCTCGTCTGCCCTCAGGTCATAGAATCATAGAATATCAGGGTTGGAAGGGACCTCAGGAGGTCATCTAGTCCAACCCCCTGCTCAAAGCAGGACCAATTCCCAATTTTTGGCCCAGATCCCTAAATGGCCCCCTCAAGGATTGAACTCACAACCTTGGATTTAGCAGGCCAATGCTCAATCCACTGAGCTATCCCTCTCCCCCCGGGGATTCTCTCTTCACAGCCCTTGTTCTCCTGCTGGCCAGAACCAGCTGCCACTGAGCGGGGCCCCCGGGTCACCAGGCCATCAGCCGGGGTCCCCAGTTCCCTGGCTGGTCCTCTGGAACAACAAGCTCCCTCTCCCGTCACCTTGTTAAACCGGTAACCCCCAGAGAAACTGATTCCCACTCCCTCTGCATGCAAACCATAGGAAAACCAAGGGGGGGGGGAACCCCTAGGAAGCAAGGAAGCCAGGAATCTCCCCCACTTCCTCACACCTAGGGAGGTGGTAGAATCTCCTTCCTTAGAGGTTTTTACGGCCTGGCTTGACCAAATCCTGGCTGGGATGATTTAGTTGGGGATTGGCCCTGCTTTGAGCAGGGGGTTTGTCACGGAGTCCCTGGGCGATGCTCTGGAACTGCTCCCCATGAAGTCAGTCAGGACTCTGGGGTAGTCGCCTTTCTGTGAGCAGCCTGTCTTCAGGACACACAGCTCACACAGCTTCCACCTTCCTGGGTCTGACCTCAGAGCATTCAGCATCCTCTGCCCCTCCGTGCGCTTCCCCCCAGCGAGTCCGCTCAGGCGGGGCTCCTGGGGAAGCCAGAGGGTCCTGCACCCCAACTTCGCAGTCAGACGTGACTCTCAGCCAGCCAGTAAAACAGAAGGTTTATTAGACGACAGGAACATGGTCTAAAACAGAGCTTGCAGGTGCAGAGAACGGGACCCCTCAGCTGGGTCCATTCTGGGGGGCAGTGAGCCAGACAACCACGTCTGCACTTCACTCCATGTCCCAGCCAGCCCCAAACTGAAAACCCCCTCCAGCCCCTCCTCCTCTGGGCTTTGTTCCTTTCCCAGGCCAGGTGGTCACCTGATTCCTTTGTTCTCCAACCCTTCAGCTCTCACCTTGCAGGGGGGAAGGGCCCAGGCCATCAGTTGCCAGGAAACAGGGTGTCGGCCATTGTCTGTGTCCAGACTCCTGCACACACCTGCCCTCTAGGGCTCTGCAATGATCATACACCCTTACCCCACCCCCTAGATACTTAAGAACTGCCTAGGGGAAACTGAGGCACCCCCACACTATTCAGAGGAAACATTAAGAACAGTCCCACTTCGTCACATCTCTCCCCCCTTCGAGATCGAACTGAGCGGGGTCACTTTAGCCGGTGACCTGGGGAAGTTCAAAGCCACCAACGTTCCCATGGATGCCCCAGCATCTCTCCCATTCCTTGGTAGGAGTTACACCAGGCCCTTCCATTTTCACACCCTCCCTTAGGTCAGGGGTGGTCGATAGCACTCGCAGGCCGCATGTGGGAAGGTTTATGCAGCCCATGCCCTTTGGCCACCCCAAGAATGTCTCCCCATTGACCATCACCTTCTGCTCCCACTGGAGGTCCGAGGGGCCTGGCCCCAGGAAACTCCACACAGACATATAGGTTGGGGTCAGGAGTGGGAGCCTGTCCACATCCCCAACCATCTGGCTGACGGAGTCTATGGCCTTGGGACCCAGCAAGGGAGCTAGACACCGGGGCTTTTCCGCAGGGTCCCCTTGGTTCAAATTGCCAGCCTGCTCAAAGGCAGTGAGGTGGGCATCCACCCCCCCACCCCCCCCCCGTCCTTAACCAGGGGCAGCAATTTAGTCTCGAGGTCCCCTGCGGAACTGGCCCCCCGGGATCTATCCCCACTCACCCCTGGGAGGTCCCCTAGGCCTCTCCGCTCCCCCACCGCCAGTTCATGCTGCTGCTGCTTCTGCAGCTCTTTCTCGGGCTCTCGCTGTCTCCCAGGGTCCTCTTGCTCTCTCGGACTCAGCTCCAATCCCGTCCGTCTCGATCCTCCGATGGGGAACCCGATCGTGAAGACCCCCGTCTGGTCGGGGACAGGAGTCTTGGCGATGCCTGGCTCCCGCTCCAGCTGCTCCCAGATCCTGCTATAGCCCCAGTTGGGGTCAGGAATCTGTTCCTTAGAGCGGTCATCCTCCTCCAGCTGCACGATTAACTCTGCTTTGGTGAACTTTCCAACGCTTAACCCTCTCTTTTTGCACAGGGTTACAATGTCCTTCTTAAGGAGACGGTGACAGGCCATCACTCCGCTCCTCCCAAGTTGTTGTGGACTCACAGGCCCGTGTGTTCTCAGCTCCCCACGGTTTCCAGGGAGAAGCCCTAGTGTGCCAGCCCTTCTCGAGGTCACCACCTCTTTGCCAGGGTCGAGCTGCAGACTCCTCCGCCCCTGAGACTGCTCGCTGCAATCCCCAGGGGAACCCTGTTACTGCAAAAGTCCTTCTCGCTGGTCACACACTCCCAGGGGTTAACCGCCCCCCGAAACCGCTCCTTTCTGAGCCTTCAGCAGGCCTGGTCCTCGGCAATCCCCCTTCGTGTTACTGCTCCCGAGTCACTTACTGCAGGAAGCGCCATCCACGGGGTACAGTACATCCCACCGCTGCCACCAGTTGTCACGGAGTCCCTGGGCGATGCTCTGGAACTGCTCCCCATGAAGTCAGTCAGGACTCTGGGGTAGTCGCCTTTCTGTGAGCAGCCTGTCTTCAGGACACACAGCTTCCACCTTCCTGGGTCTGACCTCAGAGCATTCAGCATCCTCTGCCCCTCCGTGCGCTTCCCCCCAGCGAGTCCGCTCAGGCGGGGCTCCTGGGGAAGCCAGAGGGTCCTGCACCCCAACTTCGCAGTCAGACGTGACTCTCAGCCAGCCAGTAAAACAGAAGGTTTATTAGACGACAGGAACATGGTCTAACACAGAGCTTGCAGGTGCAGAGAACGGGACCCCTCAGCTGGGTCCATTCTGGGGGGCAGTGAGCCAGACAACCACGTCTGCACTTCACTCCATGTCCCAGCCAGCCCCAAACTGAAAACCCCCTCCAGCCCCTCCTCCTCTGGGCTTTGTTCCTTTCCTGGGCCAGGTGGTCACCTGATTCCTTTGTTCTCCAACCCTTCAGCTCTCACCTGCAGGGGGGAAGGGCCCAGGCCATCAGTTGCCAGGAAACAGGGTGTTGGCCATTGTCTGTGTCCAGACTCCTGCACACACCTGCCCTCTAGGGCTCTGCAATGATCATACACCCTTACTCCACCCCCTAGATACTTAAGAACTGCCTAGGGGAAACTGAGGCACCCCCACACTATTCAGAGGAAACATTAAGAACAGTCCCACTTCGTCACAGGGTTGGACTAGAACCTCCCGAGGTCCCTGATATTCGATGACTCCGTTCCGTAACTGCCCGCCACGGGGCAGGGTCCCCGCCAAACAGGCCCTGGGGTGGCTAGGCCCTGCTCGGCAGCCTCTGGCTCTGAGCAGTGGGGCAGCCCCAGGGCTGTCTCTATAGTCCCAGCATTTGCTGAGCCTAGCGGTGCCCCCGGCCTGGCCCTTCCTGGCTGTGTCAGGCTGAGACAGTCCCCAGGAGCCCTGCAAGGTGCCCCTGTGCTGCTGGGCCTGGCGCAGGCGAGGGGCTGCCCAGCTCAGCGACTGGCAGGGACTGGGTTCAGTTCCTGGCTGTGGGCCCCGCTGGGGAGGATGGGACGCGTGTCCTGCGCGGCGTGGGGTGGATTCGTGGTCTGGGTGGCTGGGTACATGCCCGGGGTGGACACCCCCTGACGCTCCCGTTTCTTCCCCAGCCTGATCCACCTGGAGGGCTTCCTGAGCTGGCTGTGCTATGCCTGCGAGGGGGCATACCGTGTGCTGCATTGGGAGACCCCTGCCCTGTCGTCCCAGTGAGTCTGCCCCGCCCCCCCCCCAGGGGCTTTCTCCTCTGGTCCTTTCTGCTGCAGGGCCTGGCTGGGGACCCCCTAGAGAGGTTGCAAACCCAGCCAGTGAGCCAGGCACCTGGTGCCCAGTGTGTCTGGGAGGAAGGGAGGTGTCCAAGTTGGCTCCCCTGTGTTTCGGGGGGGGGAAGGGGGGGCGTGGGGGTGGACTTTGGGCATGGAAGAGTCATGGAGCAGGTCCTCAAGGAATCAATTCTGAAGCACTTAGAGGAGAGGAAAGTGATCAGGAACAGTCAGCGTGGATTCACCAAGGGCAAGTCATGCCTGACTAATCTAATTGCCTTCTATGACGAGATAACTGGCTCTGTGGATGAGGGGAAAGCAGTGGACGTGTTGTTCCTTGACTTGAGCAAAGCTTTTGGCACGGTCTCCCACAGTATTCTTGCCAGCAAGTTAAAGAAGTATGGGCTGGATGAATGCACTATAAGGTGGATAGAAAGCTGGCTAGATTGTCGGGCTCAACGGGTAGCGATCAATGGCTCCATGTTTAGTTGGCAGCCGGTATCAAGTGGAGTGCCCCAAGGGTCGGTCCTGGGGCCAATTTTGTTCAATATCTTCATAAATGATCTGGAGGATGGTGTGGATTGCACCCTCAGCAAGTTTGCAGATGACACTAAACTGGGAGGAGTGGTAGATACTCTGCAGGGTAGGGATAGGATACAGAGGGCCCTAGACAAATTGGAGGATTGGGTCAAAAGAAATCTGATGAGGTTCAACAAGGACAAGTGCAGAGTCCTGCACTTAGGATGGAAGAATCCCATGCACTGCTACAGACTAGGGACCGAATGGCTTGGCAGCTGTTCTGCAGAAAAGGACCTAGGGGTTACAGTGGACGAGAAGCTGGATATGAGTCAGCAGTGTGCCCTTGTTGCCAAGAAGGCCAGTGGCATTTTGGGATGTATAAGTAGGGGCATAGCCAGCAGATCGAGGGACGTGATTGTTCCCCTCTATTCGACATTGGTGAGGCCTCATCTGGAGTACTGTGTCCAGTTTTGGGCCCCACACTACAAGAAGGATGTGGAAAAATTGGAAAGAGTCCAGCGGAGGGCAACAAAAATGATTAGGGGACTGGAACACCTGACTTGTGAGGAGAGGCTGAGGGAACTGGGGATGTTTAGTCCTCAGAAGAGAAGAATAAGGGGGGATTTGATAGCTGCTTTCAACTACCTGAAAGGGGGTTCCAAAGAGGATGGCTCTAGACTGTTCTCAGTGGTAGCAGATGACAGAATGAGGAGTAATGGTCTCAAGTTGCAGTGGGGGAGGTTTAGGTTGGATATTAGGAAAAACTTTCACTAGGAGGGTGGTGAAGCACTGGAATGCATTACCTGGGGAGGTGGTGGAATCTCCTTCCTTCGAGGTTTTTAAGGTCAGGCTTGACAAATCCCTGGCTGGGATGATTTAGTCGGGGATTGGTCCTGCTTTGAGCAGGGGGTTGGACTAGATGACCTCCAGAGGTCCCTTCCAGCCCTGATATTCTATGATTCTATGCAGCTGTAGGGGGATGGTTGTGACAGCCTGTACGAGGGTGGAGGCGTACACTGCGGGGACATGGCCTGGGGACATGGGGGAGGTACATACACTAGGCACATGGCACAGTGGGAGAGGTGCTGGGGGCTGCGTACGCGTGGCACGGGGTGCGTATGCTAGGCGTGTGGCCAAGGCGCTCCTGCTATCCTGGGCCCTGTACCCTCCTTTCCCAGGTTCTATGGGGCGCTGCTGGGCTCCCTCTGTGTCCTGTACTTGCTGCCCTTCTGCTGGGTCCTCGCCCTGCTCAACAGCACCCTCTTCCTGGGGAACGCCGAGTTCTACCGAGGTGAGAGCCCCCCCGAGGGCACCCATGGGCTCTGGGGGCAGCAGTGGGTCTGACTGGCTGCCAGGGGACAAGTGCCAACTGGAGACCCACAAGCACCCCCCTCCTGGCTGGGCCCATGCAGGTTTCCCCTGGGTCTGACTCTCCCCATAGCTACAGCTGCCAGGGTCATCCCTGCTGCCAGCCTCCCTGCTGCCCCTCTGCTCTGGGGTCCCCTGTGCCCTCTGTGCCAGGTTCCTGCTGCCCCTTTGGTCCAAGGATCCTGGCTGTGGCAGTAGCTGCTGCTTGGCCCTTCAGGGGGTGACGCCGCAGCCTGGCACCCAACGAGGCCGGTGTGAAGGCAGCTGCTGGCCCTGGGCTCAGACCACTAGCGCCCGAGATGCCATCCTGTTCCCTCTGCCGAGCTAGGGACTTGCTTGGCCCCTCACCGCAGGATCGGCCCCTGGGCTGCCCCGGTACCGACCAGATCCGTGGCCCAGAGAGACCGAGCATCTCCCCGGGTCCCCTCCCCAAGTCGGGGAGCTGGTGGCAGGAGTGAGTGCTAGCCGGGACTCTGCCGGGGGAGGGCTGCCTGCACGTGGAACGGCAGGTCTGCAGGGGGCCCTGCTGTCCCAGCCAGCCCTTGTGCACTGTGGGGCAGGAGGGGCAGCGGCCCCGGCTCCATGCAGGGGCTGCGGCTGCCCCTCGGCACCATGGAAGCTGCTGCTAGGGCCTGGATCATGGCTGGGCTGGGCCCTGCCTGGGGGTGGGAGCTCTGGGCCCCGCCTGGGGGAGGCTGGCATGCTCCAGGTGTGTCCCGCCCCGACGCTCGCTCTCTCCCCAGTGCTGCTGGAGCTCAAGGCTGCAATGGAGCGACGCCTCGGCCCCAAGCCCCTCGCCAGCACCCTGGAGCCAGTGGAGCCTGACGCGGGAGCAGAGGGGGGCAGCTCCCTGGTGGATCGGACCCCCACGCCCACGAGCACCGAGGTGAGCCGGCTGGGCTGGGGGCTGTTGGCTCGTGCTTCCCGGCCCCCATCCGGAGCCTGGTCCCTGTGCTGCCCGCAGCCCTGCCCACGGCCCTGGCTTCCCTGAGCTGCCCACGCCGCTCCCTGCCCGGGTGGGCAGGGCTGTAGTGACTGGGCCTGTATCCTGGCAGGACCTCACGCCCGGCAGCGTGGAGGAAGCAGAGGAGGCGGAGCCTGACGAGGAGTTTAAAGACGCTATTGAGGTGCGTACCCAGCGGGGCAGGTGGGGGGCTCCCCACACACCGGGGTGCAGGTGGGCATTGCGTTGAGCTGTGTACCCCCTCGGGCGGCCACTGGAGGGCACCGGTGAGCGAGAGCTGGACAGGGATTCTCACTTTCCCCCTTAGAATGAGAGGGGCTGGATGTGGGGGGGGTCCTGCCCCCGGCCCTTCCCCACGCCCTGGCACGTGCTGCCCGTGTGCCAGGCAGGCAGAGCCTAGTGCTGCCGTCTCTGCCTCGGGGAGAAGCTGGGGGTCTATGGCTGTCCCGGGCAGGGGCGGGGGGGGCCTGCCTCTGTGTGTTCTGTTGCTACTGCCTCTCCTCTCTTCTCTCCACGCGGCGGGAGAAGGAGACCCAGGCGCTGGCCATGGTGAGTACCAGGCAGGGCTGGTGCTCGCCGGGTGCTGGGTACGGGGGTGGCACCTGCCCCGGGCAGAGCGCGGCCCTCGGGTCCCTGGAGCGGAACCAGGCCGAGCAGCAGCTCCTGCCCCGTGGCCCACGGGAGGCTCGGTCAGGGCGAGCTCTGCGCCCAGCTGGGTCCCCAGGGAGCGGCCCCCGGCTGAGTTGGGCTCTCCGGCAGGAGGACGACGAGGTCTCCCAGTGCTCCGCCGCGTTCGACCTCGGCCTCCCGGACGGCAGCAGCGTCATGAGCAAGAACGAGGTGATCCGCAGCAAGGTGTCGCGGCTGACTGAGAGGCTCCGCAAGCGATGCCCCAGCAATAACTTCGGTAGGGGGCGGCGAACGCCGGCGGGGCAGGGGCCCAGCTGAGCGCCAGCCTGGCAGGAGGGGCGGCGAACGCCGGCGGGGCAGGGGCCCAGCTGAGCGCCAGCCTGGCAGGAGGGGCGGCGAACGCCGGCGGGGCAGGGGCCCAGCTGAGCGCCAGCCTGGCAGGAGGGGCGGCGAACGCCAGCTTGGCGAGGCAGCCCCCCGCCTGTGTCTGTCTGTCAGGGGCTGGCCTGGGGGTGCCCGGGCGGTTGCTGCCCCGGGGAGCTGGGGATGGGCACTGGCTGGGCTGGGCTGTCCGGGTGCCAGGTCTGCCCGGCCCTGAGCCACGCTGTGGGCAGTGGGGGGCTCCCCCAGGGGTAATGCTGCCGGGGGGATGCTTGGTGCCCCCTGCAGGGCCCTGCCAGCTGGAGCTCTGGCCTCTGCAGCCAGGCTGGAGCCCCCGGGAGATCCCCTGAGCCAGGGCTCCTGCTGGGCTGGACCTGGGGCTCCGAGCTGGGTCCCCACTCTCCCGGACGGCAGCAACGGGCACGTGGCCTTGGGAGCTCAGGGTGCGGGCGGCTGCCGCTTCCAGAGCCAGGGCATTCTCAGGAGCGCCAGGTGGCTCCGGGGGAGGCTGTGCAGACGACAGAGAAGCTGGTCTCTGCATTGAGGCTGCCTTGGGCCAGGGCATCGCCTTGGCCCCTGGGGCGCAGGGACTGGCGCCAGGCTGAGTTCCCACGTCCCCCCTGCTGCAGGCAGTTCAGCCCCAGGCAGTGCCCAGCCTGACCCTTTGCTCTGTCTCCTCTAGGGAGCTGCACCCGCTGCGCAGCCACCTTCTCCGTGCTCAAGAAGAGGGTGAGTCCTGCCTGCTTCCCACCCGCTCCCATCTTGCCAGCTCCGCTGTGGGTCTCTCTGGGCCCTGGCCTGGCTGGCTCAGCTGGGCAGTAGTGGGGCCTCCTGGCCACCCCGTGCCCTGGGCTGTTGGTGCGTGGGTCGGCTCCTTGAACCTGCCACACAGCGCTGCTTGCAGGCCTTGCTCTCCGGACAGTCAGCGACAGGCACCCGCCATCCCCCGAGTGTCCCGCCACAGGGCCCAGCCGCCGTTCCCTGCCTGGCACTTGGCCCAGGCTGCCGCTTGCCTGACCCCGCAGGGTCTGGGGTGAGACAGTGTGAGAATAAGCCACGTTTAGGGTCGGGGGGGGAGCCCAGCCATGGGACGTGAGGACCCTGGCACCAGAGCCCGCACTTGGCCCCAGCTGGGTGAGAGCCCCTCTCCGATTGCTTGTCCTCACGCACCCGGGTTCCGCTGCACCCCAGACAGCGAACAGGGACTGGTCTTAGGTCAGGTCTTTGCTGGTGAATTAGCTGGCCCCAGGGCATGGTCTGGGGAGTGAAATTCACCCCCCTGCCGACCTAGGCCCTGGTGTAGACAGCGTCGGGCTGCCGCCTGGGGAGGTGGGCTACGCTCCGTGCTGGACTGCGTGTCTATGCTGCAGCACCAGCTCAGCCCCTTTGTAGTGCTGACGTCACCACGCTGGGACGACCCACCCCGGTCTCCCCTGCAGCCTGACCTGCACTGTGCCCTGACTGCGCCCGCTGTGCCAGACCATAGTGCCATGCCCAGACAGAGGGGCGCGTCCCCCCTCCTGCCGCGTCTCTGCCCGAGGGACAGCGGTTAGCCTGCAGGCAGCTCGGCCCTGCGGGACCTTCCTTGGCACTCGAGGTGGGTGCCAGAGCCAGGTGATCTCCGTAGCCCGGGTGCCCTCAGCAGGTCCTTGGGTCATAGCCCCCCGGGACAGTCTCCAGCATAGAATCATAGAATATAAGGGTTGGAAGGGACCCCAGAAGGTCATCTAGTCCAACCCCCTGCTCGAAGCAGGACCAATTCCCAGTTAAATCATCCCAGCCAGGGCTTTGTCAAGCCTGACCTTAAAAACCTGTAAGGAAGGAGATTCTACCACCTCCCTAGGTAACGCATTCCAGTGTTTCACCACCCTCTTAGTGAAAAAGTTTTTCCTAATATCCAATCTAAACCTCCCCCACTGCAGCTTGAGACCATTACTCCTCGTTCTGTCATCTGATACCATTGAGAACAGTCTAGAGCCATCCTCTTTGGAACTCCCTTTCAGGTAGTTGAAAGCAGCTATCAAATCCCCCCTCATTCTTCTCTTCTGCAGGCTAAACAATCCCAGCTCCCTCAGCCTCTCCTCATAAGTCATGTGTTCCAGACCCCTAATCATTTTTGTTGCCCTTCGCTGGACTCTCTCCAATTTATCCACATCCTTCTTGAAGTGTGGGGCCCAAAACTGGACACAGTACTCCAGATGAGGCCTCACCAATGTCGAATAGAGGGGAACGATCACGTCCCTCGATCTGCTCGCTATGCCCCTACTTATGCATCCCAAAATGCCATTGGCCTTCTTGGCAACAAGGGCACACTGCTGACTCATATCCAGCTTCTCGTCCACTGTCACCCCTAGGTCCTTTTCCGCAGAACTGCTGCCTAGCCATTCGGTCCCTAGTCTGTAGCTGTGCATGGGATTCTTCCGTCCTAAGTGCAGGACCCTGCACTTATCCTTATTGAACCTCATCAGATTTCTTTTGGCCCAATCCTCCAATTTGTCTAGGACCCCTGCCCTAGCAACCTAGACCCCCTGTCTAGCAACCCCTGCCCTGTCCCCGACAGGCAATCGCCTGCCTTCCCCCGGGGTGGGGGCTGCACAGTGACCGGCGTCTCTCTCCCCAGCGGAGCTGCAGTAACTGCGGCAACAGCTTCTGCTCCCGCTGCTGCTCCTACAAAGTCCCCAAATCCTCCATGGGAGCCACAGGTGAGCGGGTGCAGGTGGGGGGCCCTCTCTTGCTCCTGGCGACTCCAGCCCCGGCCTGTCCCAGCAGGGGGCGCTGTGGGGAGGGGGGCAGGGCACTGCGGGGGGGCCTCCCGGTGACTCCAGCCCCGGCCTCACCCAGGCAGTGGGGTGGCAGCAGTGCATCGACGCTCAAGTAGGGATACCAACTTTCTAACTGCAGAAAACCAGCTCCCTTGCCCCACCCCTGCCCTGCCCCTTTGAGGCGCCCCCCCCTCCAGCCCCCTCCCCCACTCCCACTTGCTTTCACTGGGCTGGCTCGGGGTTGGGGTGCAGGAAGGGTGAGGGCTCCAGCTGGGGCTGCAGGCTCTGGGGTGGAGCTGGGGGATGAGAGGTTTGGGGTGCAGGAGGGGGCTCTGGGCTGGGGCAGGGGGTTGGGGTGCTGGAGGGGCTGCAGGCTGGGGCAGAGGGGTTTGGCGTGCGGGAGGGGGTTCCAACCTGGGGCAGGGGTGCGGGGTGCAGCTCCCAGGCGGCGGAAGGGAAGCTCCCTGGCTCCGTGCTGCTCCTGAAAGCAGCCGCCAGGTCCCTGCAGCCCCTAGGCGCAGAGCATGCTGCCTGTACCCGCAGGCACTGTCCCTGCAGCTCCCATTGGCCACGGTTCCCGACCAATGGGAGCTGCGGAGCTGGTGCTCGGGGCTGGGGGCGCATGTGGAGCCATGGTGGCTGCCCCTACGCCTAGGGGCCGGACATCCCGGCGGCTTCTGGGAGCCGTGCGGAGCCAGGGCTGGCAGGGAGCCTCCCTGAGCCCCGCTGCGCCCCGACCAGACTCCTACCAGCCTGGTCAGCTGCCACGGTCTCTTTTTGACAAAACCGGACACCGGGCAGCCCTAGCACTCGGGAGCGTGCAGCGGCGATTGCTGGCTCCTCTCCCTTTGCTCTCTGGTGTGGGAGGGGCTCTGCTGGGGGCCATGGTGCAGCCGATCTCGGGCAAGCTGGGGAGGGGACAGGTCTCTGCTAGCTGGGAATGATGGGGAGGGTCTCTGGGGGGGATGGAAGTGATGGGATGTGGGGGGTGCAGTGATGGGGCATGGGGGTTGGTGTTGGGCGTGGTTGGATGGTGATGGGGGTCTTTGAGAAGGGTGATGGGCAGTGATGGGGGACGATGGGGGTTGGGTTTCTGGGGGGGGCAATGGAGTGGATCTCTGACAGCTCCTTTCCTTCCAGCCCCAGATGCCCAGAGGGAGACAGTGTTTGTTTGCTCGTTGTGTAACCAGGTTCTCGTCAAGTGAGCGGAGCCCCCAGCAGGGGCATCTCCGGCTGCCTGTCCCTGCTGCTCTGGGCAGGAGAGCACCAGGACCCTGCGTTGCTGAGTCCCCCCCGCCTGCCCTGGCACTGCCCAGCCCATGGCACTGGGTGGCTGCGTGGGCCCCACTGCTCTGTTCCCTGGAGCTTTGCTGTGGGGTCCTGACTGGGGCAGGGGACTGAGGCCAGCCACCCCTCCTCTCTGCTCTGGGGCAGTGCCTCAGGGGCCTTTGCAAACCCCTGACAGTCACCCTGACCTGCCAAGCCAGAGGGGTAACCATATGCACAGTGCCCTCTGCTAGCTAAATCCCCCACAGCCTGCCCCTGGGCTCGGAGCAGACCCTCCTCGCCCCATAGGGCTGGGCTTCCTCCCCGCCTGCAGGCAGATGGAAGCAGGCAGGAGCCAGGCTGTGCTCAGCTGGGCTGGGCGGAGTGCAGTGGGTGGCTGGAATGGGCCATGGGGGGAGGGCAGGGGGAGTAGAGGGCCTGGCGTGGGGTGGCTCTTGGCTCGCACTCTGCATGCTGGGCTGCTGGCTTTGCCCACAGCGGTGGGTGCTGGTTCCGCTCCCGTCACCTGGGGCCACAGCACCCCCCTGCTCTGCTGCCGCCCTGCCCCACAGAATCCGGGCAAAGGCTTCACCCCCCCATGGCCCTGGGAGGCTCCTCTCTCAGCAAGGGGGTTGGGTGTCTGCTGCTGTGAGTGAGGGCTGGAAGCACTACAGGGCCAGGGCAGAGCAGGGGTCCCTCGCAGGCAGGGCGAGGCCCACCGCCCGTTCTGCGCTGACCCCTGCATACGTGGGCATTACTGTGTGTGTAGCTGGAGCTGGCTCCTGTGTCCCCCTGTGAGGGATCGTGGGGCCCCTGCAGGCCCCCTGGGCTGCACATGCCCTGCTGGGGTAGCCGGCACCTGTTCTGCTGGGGGGGGCTCCCTGCTGCCCCGTGAGCTGCTGGCAGCAGGCTCCAGCCTGGCCCTAGGGCAGCATCTGCCACGTGCAGGTCACGTGAAGCAGGGTTAAAAGGTGGGGCTGCTGCGTGGAGACCTCCACCTGCTTTGTCCCGTGGCAAACGCCCTGGACCGGCACCAAAGGTACGGGAGCAAGGAGAGCGCTTCATGCCTGGCCAGGCTGGCAGCCCAGGGGCCCTTCCTTGGGGTGCCAGGCGTAGCTGGAGCGAGAGGAGACCTGGGGGGCAGGGGGCAGAGGGGCTAGCTGGGGCGGTTGCTGCTGCTGTGCCAGGCTGTCCCCCTCTCTGCCCTGGGCTGCTCAGGAGCAGGGTGGCCATGGCCGGGTCCCAGGAGACTGGGGATGGGGGGCTGTCAGCGTGAAGCTCCCTTCGGCTTCTGTTCTGCCTATTCCCCCTCCCCCTGTCCTTAAGGACTCACAAGGGAGGGTGGGATAGTCCAGCCCTTCTCCCTCTTTCTCCACCACTTAGGCCCAGTGTCTGACTCTCCAGTTTGGGTTTATTAACTTCTGGCCCCATGGCCTGGGGCCCGGTACCAGGGCGAGTCCTGGGGAGGGTGTGGTGTGAACGTGGCTCCTCTGTTTACACAACAGCAGCTTCCCTTCTGCTTCTCTTGCACCGGTTGGTAAATGATGTGACTCACTTTCCCTGGCTGAGTTGGCACCAGTGAGAAACCACCTGTCCCAGTGGCCTCGGCCCGCTGGGCAGGTCCCTGCTCTGTGCCTCCAGCCCCCTGTCCCTGGGTGAAGGCGGGGGAGCTCTGAGGAGGACTGTGCTGTTAGGACCAGGGAGCCTAGTTTTCCATGATAACCCCCCCAATAAACGTGACTCTGCATTTCTCTGCCGTTTTCGCTGACTCGCTGTGTGTGTTGCCCTGGCCCCAGGTGGGCGCCCTCGGCCGGATCCGGCAGGCTCGGATACGGGGGTGCTGCAGAATGTTTTTATTCTCTCACAAAAGGTGAAAAGTCCAGATTCTCTGCAAACCTCAAATCTGTGTTTTCTGGGCCCAGGGGCTTGCTCGGAGCCCTGGTTATTAGTCATGGGGGGCTGGGCTGCCGTCTCCTTGCCAGGCGAGGGGGCTTATGCAGAGCTGAGCGGTGCTGGTGCTGGCTGGGGGGGGTCTTCCCCTAGCACCCATGTCTCTGGCCGGAGGGCAAGGGCCGGCTCCCAGGGTGCTGTGGTGGGGAGGGGGCTTTGCAAGCTCTGCAGGAGAGGAGCCTCCCCTCCCACTTCTGCCAGCTTGGAGCTGGGGGTGAGGGCTGCATCCTGAGGTCTCTGCCTGCAGCCCCCCGGGTCCAGCAGGGAGACGCCCCAAGGGGAGCCAGGCACCCCCAGGTTCCTTGCACTGCAGGGACTCAGGCAGCGGGTGACCGCAGGGGCTAGGAGGGGCTGGAACAGGCGTAGTCCGGCCTCGGTTAGCACCGAGAGCAGGAAGTTAAAGCCTGGCCCAGCTGGGTCCGGCCCAGGGCCCAGAGCTTGCGGCCCCTCTGTAGTCCCAGCCCAGAAGAGCTTCTCCCTCTGCCTCCAGCAGCCCCCACTTAACCCCACCTGCCTGCCCACCCGCCCCCGCCCTTTCTTCTCCAGCTGGTCACACCCGGCTGGCTTCCGGTGTGGGGGGTACATGGGTGTTTCTTGCTAGGTGCCAAATGTCTGGGCAATTCGGTGGCCATTGTCTTCTGGGACTGTCCGTGGACATGGGGCCCAGACAGCCCAGGGTCAGCAACCAACCTTCCCCCCACACCTAGTTACCCATGCAGCACGTAGGGGAAACTGAGGCACACAATGTTCCTACAAAACATGAAAAATTCCCAGACTGTTCCCTCCCAAACTGGTGCATTCATTAGCCTTGTTCTGTGCCCTGCTACCCCCAAGCCTGGTGTGCCCCAGGCCCTAGTTCACAGGCTTGGCTGTAGCCCCGGCACAGGTCAATCTCCGGCCCAGCCAACGTCCCTCTCAGCCTGCTAGCCCCCGCCTTGCTGCTTCCTGTGACCTGCTGGAGCCGCGCTCCCTCCCCGGGGCACCTCGTGTACAGCAAAGTGCCCAGCTCTGTGCAGGGCGTAACCCCTGGAGCTGGGGAGGGGGCACCTGGCTGCATTGATGCTCCCGCAGGGTGCCCGGAGAAGGTGTTGCTGGAGTCCTGGCCAGAGCGGCTGATGCAGGGATGGGGCAAAGGGGGCAGCTCGGGCTGCGGGGCCTTGGCCTGGTCCCCAGTAGGGGTGTCTGTGCCATGGGGACCTGCACAGGCCTTGGCATGGGCCAGTGGATGCTGATGGGGCCAGCGCCAAGCGGGAGCAGAGTTCTAGGTCTGGCCTGTGGCCCCCACCTGCCTGTTCATTGGAGCCAACGTGTGAGGGAGACAGGGCTTGGGGTGGCTGCGTGGGTCAGCCCCCAGCTCCTGCCACAGCCCCCCAGGTGATCGTGTCCCTGGACTCAGCTGGTGTTTCCTGGCCTGGCGTGTGGCATCTGCCCCTTCCCCCTGCAGTGCCCACCTGGGATGCCAGGCCTGGCTGTGCACGGGCCGGGCAGCTTTGGCACCGTGTGCGGGGGCAGCCGGGCTGTGCTCGGGCCAGGCCACAGTTGCTGTGTGATGCTGGGTGTTGGCAGGATCCTTGGGTGCCCCTCGGCCAGGACCGTGACATGGAGCACAGAGATCTGCCCCCACCCTGCCAGCAGCCAGGTGCCCAGTGTGGGAGCTGCCTTGGCAGCACCCTCTGCCCGTGTCCCCGGTGCTCGGGGCCTGCCGCGTCTCTCCGGCTTGGAGGGGCAGGGCCATTGGGCACGGGGCATTGTGGTACCTGCAGGGCAGACGGCTGCAGAGCAGGGAGCCGAGTCTTTGCTGGCCAGGCCTTGTGCCCTCCTGTAGCCATGGGGTCCCCTGCTGGGGCCTTGCTGGGGGATGGGGCCAACTCTGTGGGTGCTCAGGGGCTCAAGCACCCATGAAGAAGAACTAAGGGGTGCTCAGCACCCATGGGGCTGGCCAGGGCTGGTGGCCCTGGGGCTGGCTGCCAATCATCTGCTGAGCAGGAGGGGGCAGACAGGAGCAAGTGGAGGGGCCGGAGCCTGGATTCCCCCCCTCCCCCAGGGCCACCCCACTGTGCAGGAGGGACAGGAGGGACCTGGCACCCGGGTTAACCTGCCCGACACACCGGAACTCGCAGGCTGGGATGGGGGGGCCCGACTGCCCGGGGTTTGCCACCCGCTGGGCCTGACAAAAACATGGAGTGCCCCTCAGTGCAGCTTGGCCCCATAGACCAGGGGGTAGCACAGGGGGCAGGTGTCCAGCAGGGAGGCGGCAGTTGTGGGGGTCCCAGGGGTGCCCAGCAGAGGGGAGCCCTGGGGGGGTCTCTGGCAGGTGGGTGGGGTGTCTGCGGGGTGCCCGGCAGGTGGGGGGGAGGGTCCCGGGGATGCCTGGCAGGCAGGAGGGGTTCCCAGGGGGACCTAGTGGGGGGGGTGTTCCCGGGGGTGCCCGGCAGGCAGGAGGAGTTCCCAGTGGGGCCTAGCGGGGGGAGGGTTCCCAGGGGTGCCTGGCAGGGGAAGTCCTGGGGGTGCCTGGCGGGCAGAGGGTGGCCTGCAGGCAGATGGGGCGGAGTCCCCGGGGGTGCCCGGCAGGCAGGGGGGGTTCCCAGGCCCCTAGCGCTGCTCGGCCCCGGGGAGCGGGGCGTAGCGCGGCGGGCAGGGGTAGGAGAACATGAACTTGAGGGCGAAGCGCATCTCCCGGTTTCCCCGCTCCCAGCGGTACAGGGCCCCCAGCAGCAGCCGCCTGCCCGCTCAGCACCAGGAAGGGGCGGCGCGGGTCGGCCAGCTGCGGGCAGGGGCAGGCGGCCGCGTTCCGCATGTGCAGCGCCGGGCGCCGGGGAGCTGCAGGGGGCCCCGCTTCAGCAGCTTCTTCTTCGGCGCTCGCCGCCCTCCGCCCGCAGCTCCCGGAGCTGCATCTTCAGCACTGCAGGGGGGAGCGGGGCCGGCTCGGAGCTGCCCCCGGACTGCCCGGGGCGCCTACAGCCCCTCCGGCCTGCTCCCCCCGGCCCCCCGATCTGGCCCCCCGGCTCCGCTCCCCACTGCCCAGCCCCACCCAGCCCCACGCCCCCCGGCCCCCCGATCCAGCCCCCCCTGGGCCTCCTGATCCAGCCCCCTTGTGCCCCCCTGGACCCGCTCCCCACTGCCCAGCCCCCCCCCCCGGACCCCACTCCCCCTGCCCCCCCGATCCATCCCCCCCGGCCCAGCCCCCTCCTGCCCCCCCGCTCCCCACTGCCCAGCCCCCCCCAGTCCCTTCCCAGCCCCACTGCCCAGCCTCCCCCTACCCGCTCCCCCCACCCACTGCCCAGCTCCCCTTATCCAGCCTTCCCTCCCCCGGGACAAGGCCTACCCAGGCCGATCCAAGGGGGGGACACCCCGGGAGCCCCCTTCTCCCCACCCCACTCACTGAAGTCACTAGTCACATCTGCTCCATCATGCCCTCCGCCTTGTGCTCCATCTCGCACTGCGGGCAGACCCTGGACGCTGTGGGGATGGGGAGGTGAGAGGCCTGGCACAGGCCCCCCCATGTGACTGTGTTCCCACCGTGTGCCCAGCTGTCAGCGACCCCCCAGGGCAGAGCATGGGGAGTCAGGCTGGCAGCAGGAGGGGATGCTGCTGCCAAGGTGGGCAGAGGGGCTGGGCTGCCGTATCTGCCCCGGGGAGCCCGTGCGGCTGTGGGAACGGAGCCAAAGCCCCAGGCTGAGCCGGTTCAACCCCTCTGCCCCAGGGACCATGGCAGGGTCACTGCTGCCCCCTTCCCATCCGCCTGTCTCCCCAGCGCAGCCCCGCATGGGGGGCACCAGGGGCTCTGCAGCAGCCCTGCTTGGCCCCGGGCAGGGTCTGCCGGGCATTCAGCCCGCCGACGGGGCTCGGAGCCGTGGGTATCAGGGCCGAGCGGGTGACGCTGGCACTGCGGACGGATGCTCCGCGACCCAGCCCTTCCCGCTGTCCCACCCCGTTACCTGGTGGTGGGGTGACCTGTCCCCCCCTTTACCTGGTGGTGGGGTGACTTCTCTCCCTCGTTACCTGGCGGCAGGGCAGTGTGTCCCCCCTGTTACCTGGCGGCGGGGTGGCCTGTTCCACCCCCATTATCTGGTGGCGGGGTGATGTGTTCCCCCCGTTACCTGGTGGTGGGGTGACCTGTCTCCCCCGTTACCTGGCGGCAGGGCAGTGTGTCCTCCCTGTTACCTGGCGGCGGGGTGGCCTTTCCCCCCCACGTTACCTGGTGGCTGCGGAAATGGAGGGAGGCCCAGATGGGGCTCTGGCCTCCTGTCACAGAGTCCCCGGGTGATGCTCTGGAATTGCTCCCTATGAAGCCAGTCAGGACTCTGGGGGAGCCGCCTCTCTGTGGGGCCTGTTTTAGCTGTACTTTAACCAACCTTGGGGGGCAGGGAGGCCAGAGCTGCATCTGGGCCTCCCTCCATTTCCCCAGCCAGCTCCAAACTGAAACTCTCCCGCTCCGCTCCTCCTCCGGCCTTTGTGTCTTTCCCGGTCGGGAGGCCACCTGACCTCTTTGTTCTCCAACCCCTTCAGTCTGCACCTTTGCAGAGGAGGGGCCCAGGCCATCAGTGGCCAGGAGACAGGGTGCCAGCCATTCTCTGTGCAGACATCATCACACTGGCCCTCTCGGGCTCTGCAACAATCACACCCCCTTATCCCCCCACCTAGATACTTAAGAAATGCCTAGGGGAAACTGAGGCACCCACACAGTATTCAGAGAAAGCATAAAGAACATTCCCACTTTGTCACACCTCCCTGCCCCCAAGATGGACCTGGCTGAGGGGTCCTGTTCTCTGCAGCTACAAGCTCTGTGTTAGACCGTGTT